TTGTTTCTATCTTTTTTCTGTTCATTTTTACGCAGTTGGGTTTTTGACCGAGGGGCTGAAGGCTCTTCAGAAGCTGTTCAATTCCGTCATCCTCGAAGGAAAAACGCCTACGGTATGGCACGTTGCGTTTTCCTTGGCATCCCCAAGGAAAACGCAAACGTGGTCGACCCAGGCAAACTTGGCGGCGCACTGTAGCGGACGAGGCGAAGAAGATCGGCAAGACCTGGAGCGAGATCAAGCGAGAAGTCAAAGTCATGGCACAGAAGTGTGGTGATACTCTTCTTCAAAAAAGGCGACAAAACCTTGTTGAAGAAATATAGACCCATCTCACTTCTGAGCCATGTCTACAAGCTGTTTTCGAGAGTCATTACGAATCGTCTCGCTCGTGAGCTCGATGACTTTCAGCCTCTCAAACAAGCCGGTTTCTGAAAAGGCTTTAGTACACCACATACATACGCCACGGCAGATTATACAGAAGACCGAGGAGTATAGTCAGTCACTTTGCCTGGCGTTTGTGGACTATGACAAAGCTTCGATCGAGACCTGGGCAGTACCTACTACAGTTTCTCCAACGGTGTCAAATTGACTATGTCGATACATCGAAGTGTTGAAAGGCTTGTACGAAAACGCCACAATGTCGTTCCGTCTCCAGGATCAAGACTCGAAACCAGTTGCAGCAGCAGACAGGGGGAACTGAAAACTCCGAAACTGTTCACCACCTGGAGAACTGTTTCTGGACTGGAACGGATTCGGCATAAATATCAACGGTGAGTAAATAACCCACCTTCGATTCGCAAACGATATCATAGCCATGGCTGAGACCGTGGAAGATCTAGGCACAATGCACAATGGCTTCAGTCGAGCCTCTCAACAAGGGGGTCTTAAAATGAAACATGGACAAGACAAAATCATGTCAAATGTCCGTGTTGCACCCACTCCTCTAAAGGTTGGATACTCTACACTCGGCAGTTGTTGACAATTATATATACCTAGTACAAACAGTCCAGTTAGGCTGTTTATAGTGTGACGCGGACCGTCCAGTGCGGATCCGCTCCACACAGCCGATCTGTAAACTTCGAGGAAGCGTTATAGAGTAATAGCGNAAAACATACGGGTCGAATTGAGAACCTCCTCCTTTTTTTGAAGTCGGTTGAAAAAAAAAACATACGGGTCGAATTGAGAACCTCCTCCTTTTTTTGAAGTCGGTTGAAAATAATATTATAACATAGAAAATAATAATATTATAAAAAAATACAACATGACAAATCAAACCATTCAAAATCAAATACTTAATTTTTTTCGGTATCAATGTCTCGTAGTTTGTACTGCTACGAGCATCATTACGATCGTAGCGCGTAGTAAAGCTCTACCAAATCCATCGTAGTGTTGTCAGTGCCATAATATTTACACATAAATGTATTTTCAATGATCGAGTACAGTATGCTTACCATGAGTTTACGTTAGGTGAGTTCGCTAGCGAATACGTCAAAAAATTCTATGAAGATTTTATTTCTTGAAAGTAGCCGCTAGGGGCGCTGCACAATATGTCATACATTTAAATGTAAATTTTTACGCAGTCGCTAGCGAGCACACCTAACGTAAACTCATGGTAAGCACACTGTTCTTGCAACTCACGAAGGCGAATGACCTTTACTTGTGTGTGTACGTGTAAATGTACATAACGATAGTGTAATAATGTCTATCAAATCCTATGAAAAACGAACAGTAGCGAGCCACCACACATGTAAAGCTCACTCGCTTTCGTGAATCGCAACAACTGTACCTCCCGTGTTTTCCTCGTGATTCTAATCAGATAAATTGAAGTCTGCAAAAACAGCTACCTAACTAACTACATGGAATGGAGTGGACCGACGACATCGTAAAGGTAGCAGGGAAGCGCTGGACGCAGGCCGCTACCAATCGATCAACATGGAAAGCATTGGGGGAGGCCTATGTTCAGCAGTGGACGTCCTATGGCTGAAATGATGATGATGATGATGAACGAACTACATTATAGACTGGATAGAATAGAATAAGTGTAGGTGTACATCATTCCACTGGGAATCAAATCTAGGACTTTTCACCCAAAAAGTTACAACTGCCAAACAATAGAACATAATGTAACATTCCGGGAAAGTAATTCTTACAATATCGAACACTAAAAAGCTCTTTTCGGTGTGACACGCGCCCTATAAAACTTTGTCATTCAATCTAACGTCTTTAAAAAATTGCCACTCGATTTTGAGTCTTATGTTGACGCAGTAAAGTTCAAGGATAGACACATTTATCATCCAGAATATGGGATTAATGTATAAGTTTTACTTTTATGACTTTTGGCGCCTGCTTTCTATCTTTTTATTGTTTTACTTTTAGAGGCCAAGATAATGCAAAGTATGAAAGTATAATAATATAGTTTAACATAATATTTTAATAGCGAGCTTAGTTAGTTATTTAGTTAAACTTTAATATCGTTTCAACTAACATTACACTACCTTTGACCAACACTTATTTGAGTAAATTAATATTTTATTTCAAAGTGAAATAATGTTTCACCTCTGAAAATCAGTCGCCAAAATTTATAAGTTGATCCCATTCCGGGTTGATACGTGTGCTATGACCTAATCTTTCTGTGACTGATCAAAATTCACACGGGCGAAGCTGCGGACTAAAACTAGTTTGATAAATTAACCATATCTTTACTCAAGATCAATTCAAAAGGCGTTCACAATCTATATTTATAAAAGCGAAAGGTCACCGATTGACTCACTCACTCATCACGAAATCTCAACTACAAGTGCTAGGAGTCTCAAATTTTGCATGGGGGTTCCTTTTACAATTAAGGGGCTCATTAAGACGGGATTTTCCAAAATTTAACCCCTAAGGGGGTAAAACGGCTTAAGAAGTCGCGGGCGGCCGCTAGTTAACTATATCTTTACTCAAGATCAATTCAAAAGGCGTTCACAATACTAAATAAACTGGAGAGTACACGTTCCATCGCTCGAGAGTTCGATTTCGAATTATCATTGCCGAACATTAATTTGCCGGTTTACCGGCACTCCCTGTCTTTTCAAATCTATTCGGAGGATTCTACTAAAGGGATTTTGGGACACACTGATGGGGAAGTTTGGAGAACATCTGGTGAATCTATTTAATATAGATTCGATAGATTATTGCTGAAGAGCTGAAGAGTTTTTGTTTGCCTGGACGCGCTAATTCCGACTTAAAAACTATTTTTGTATTGGATAGCCCATTTATCAATGAAGTCTTTGGGGTATGATATTATCATCCTACATAGCTACATAGGGGCGAAGCAGTAAAGAAAAATGTTGCACAAACAGGAAATATTACTCAAAACATTTTCTTGATAAGAAGAAGCGCACCAGAGGTGTTAGACTAGCATAGTTATGAATTTTAAAAAATCTCTCTTAGAAGATTTTGCGAACTTGAACGGTGCCGCGGTGGTCCAAGAATTCAAATAATAAAATTGATTTAACACTTATTTTGGACATTAAAATACATTTCACCAATCCGATTTTCTTCCCCCAAAATTCAGCAGATTGTCATCATCAGATTATTAAGTAGGTAGTATAGGTTTATCTTTTGGAAGTGCGACCCTTCCCTAACTACCTTAAAAAAAGGGAGAGGCGATACTTATTTGAGTCCTTTGTGGTTCGAAAACATGGTTTAATTTTTTGCTTCGGACACCCTTCTAGCCTTATTAAAAAGTCCCCCAATAGTCGTGGAGCAATTTAAGTACCAGCTCAAATAGTAAAAATCTTGAAAAACTATTATTTAAGCTTGCGAAACTCACCGTTCGTGTGTCCCGTTGTTTCCCGAAGCCGATTTATAAATGGTGGCACCAGTTTTGATTCCTCATTGAAAAGACAGAGTGCTTCTTTGTTTACCAACAAATACCCCGAGATTGCGTCTGACAATTATTAATTATTCTAATTGATGGGAATCTAGTGTAATTAACCAAAATACGATTAATTTAAATGGGAAAAGCTTTTGCCTTACACAATAGCCGGTTGATAGCGGCCACCCCGGTCCACCTTGTGGGATGCTTAATATAGGTCAAAATTCAAATGAAAATGATATTTATTTAGTCCAAAAATATTACAGTACATGATCTGGTTACTGTTACATTCAAGAAAAATGGAACTTTGTACCGCCTATGTTCATCAAAAATCACGAAGGATTCTAATGGCGAATGTCGGTCCAGTAGTTTTGGACCCTATTCAATACAA